CTAGTCACGTGACCTCGCTGACGCAACAATATTTTTCTTGTTTTCAATTTCCTGTTGGCCATGAGCCTATTCAGTTTTGTTTTCTTGCCAGCACGACAACTTTCAGCCTGTATGAACTGAAGACATTATTGAAATTGTAGAATTTTGTATATCTGTAGTATAGAGCTGATATTTTTCACAAGCAAGAACAAAGTATGTATACATCACCAAAGTTGCAAGTGTCCTCAGCAGTGATAATTGTAAGTCACTTTTTGGTCAAGATGTGATACAGTCCCTTTGCTGGACGAGGGAAGGTAACTGCCATGAAAATCATCAAGACTCACCCTGAATACAAAGAAACCCTACATAATTATTCCAACAGTTAGAAGCATTTACATGTCATCTATACAATGCCAAAGCATCAACAAGGAGTTTCAATGAGCTGTAATATACTTTTCTGTACAAAGAAGGGGGAATAAAGTCATGCCAGTTACCACGTTGTGCTGCTGCTCTCTGTAAACACTGCATGAGGGCAAACTATCAAGATGGAGTCTGGAAATGCTGTCTGAAAAGTTGTCTTGAAATTCCATCTCCTGTTGTCAATGGATGGGTGGATGGAATTCAAGGATGGAGAGGAACAGCTTGTGATTGACTGGCTTGACGTATCAGCTGCACCAGAGACGGTCTTACAACTTTTGTCATGCACATGATCCAGAGCATGTAAAATGCCTATCTGCCCTTGTCTTGCTATATTGAAATGCACAGAGCTTTGCAAAATGAAATCATATGCCAATCAAGTTAGTGATACTGAATCTGATGATAATGACTGCTTTGAGGAAAGTGATTAAACAGATGATGATTGGAATTAGCTGTCATACGAGACATGATATTTCAATATCATTGTGATGTTTGTTCTGATCCAGATATAAAAAAGTATTCCTTTTATCTTATCATTGAAGGTATTTAAATAATGCTTAATACCACAGTAGACCTAATAAGACTAAGACATTTTGATTTATTGTATTCTAGAGCAAGGATAGAAAGATCAACAATATTTCAACTTAATGATCTAAAAATGTTCCGTTAGAAGTTTCTTTTACCAAAATGAACCTAGAAATTTTGACTTTTGTTTTAGATGCAAATAAAAGGCATACTGATATAGTGTTTGTTTGTAGTTATACATTTATAATCATATAGAGTTGAAGTTTTTACTTTTCAGCTAAGGCCTGGCATGGCCAGGTGGTTAGGGCGCTCAACTCGCAATTGTGGGTTCGAATCCCAGTCACACCAAAACATGCTTGACCCTTTCAGCTGTGGGGGCATTATAATGTGACGGTCAAACCAACTATTTGTTGCTAAAAGAGTAGCCCAAGAGTTGGTGGTGGGTGGTGATGACTAGCTGCCTTCTCTCTAGTCTTACACTGCTAAATTAGGGACGGCTAGCGCAGATAGCCCTCGTGTGATAATTCTTTTATTTTTGGAGATTACTGTTATAATAAAAAAAAAAAACGAAACTGAAGACTGCTCATAACAATAAATTTATTTACCTTTTATAAAACTAATTTCTTTTTACAAATTACTCTAGTTACAAATTTTCTATTCACACACAAAACATCTTTAATGGCACAGGTAATGTTTCTTCAAACCTCTATTTATTTCCATATCTTACAAAAATAACACCGTTAGTTTGAGTACTCGACCTTTTACTTACTTTCAACAATTGATCTATGACATACAGCTATTAATCACACGTTTTGATAGTTTTTATATTATGCTGATAACTGTTTGTTACATAAGATTTTTTAATCAGAGAATTCTTCCTTTAAACAGTTTTACTAATCTTTCTAAACTTTATTAAAGGCAAATGATAAATCTTGGAAAAACACTATGGAAATATGAGTATCTTACACAATATACTAAAATTAAATAAAAAATAGGAACATACGTTTTGATGGACAACAGTAATTCAGAAACAAATTTTATAACAAGTTACAAGAGACTAGTATAATGGCAGTTTACACAATATCGCTTCCAATAACAACTTGCTGGGAAAGTTAATTAGTGAAAATGATGTCACATCTTTTAAAATTAACTTTATCTTTACGAAGTTTGAAAGCAACATAAAAATAAAGTGGTTCATCCATAATGTTTGAACATGTTTTACTTCAAAAAACACAATAACAGGAGATCTTCACACAAACATAAAAAAACTAAAGAATATGCAACCATCTACAATTTCATTCATACATTTGCTTGTTACCATTTATTACAGAATTAGAATTCATCAAGAATTTGAATCTTTTAAAAGTTTTTACATAAATTTCAACTAGAAATACCACAGACTGTAATGAGCACTTAAATTTTACACAATTCTTCAATTAGAGATCAAACTTTCGAAACTTGCTATACATATACTGGATTTCAATTACCATTCAAAGTGAGAACAAATATTCAATAATAGAACAAAACAAGGAGAATTAAATTTTAAGAGTACCGAAATTTCATAATAAAAACTATGGATCAGTGGCACATTTCTCCAATTCATACCTAATAAAACAACAGTAGGGACATTTTAAAGTTCAACACATTATAAATAATAACTGATGCTTTCCTTGTTTTACAGATTGTGCCACCACTGTACTATGTTTCAGTAGTTATAATCAGTAGAATGATCATATAGAACTATCATTACTTGTAACTCAAACGAACAATCATTATTCACAACTCAAGCATCCAATTCAATATCTATGAAAAAGCTCGTGACATTTGTCAAGATTCCAAAAATATAATAATACACTTCAAAGTATTTATTATTTTTTTAAAGGTACTAAGAAATTTGTTTTATTGTTCAAGACAGCTACAGAGGGCAATAAACATTTTAATTAAACAAGTTTTACATTAATTGTCACCTGGTAATTATTGGGACTTTGGCCACATTTTTCTTTTTGACTTACGACACATAATGAGAATTGTTTCTTAACCATGAGTAGCTATTTGTATCAAAAGTCTTTTTTTTTTCTTCTTTTTTTTTTATAGGCCAATGAAATAATACAGAAGTTTGGGCTATCACTATAATCTTGTGCAATTCTAGTACTTAAAACATGGAGATCAAAAACTTCTGTGTATATATATATATATATATACACATAAACAAAGGCTATTAAATGTTTGCTAATAATAAAACAATAAAGGGTTTGAAAGTATGTTCCAGTATATTCTAGAAAAATTAATTTGTGAAACACAACAACAACTAAAGTAAGTCTGGAATGTTGTGATATTCATACTAATTCCAATGTTATAATAAATTCACACCCTGGAAACAATAACAATAGTTATCTTCAAAAGGAAACATGTTAAATGCAGAGAAAAACAAAAGTACCTTCTGTTGCATATCAATATTTTTCTAAAACTAGTTCATTTCAGTCCTATTCCTCTCTAAATTAACTGAAAATGATTTTTCTATATTTGGTGTTTACAACCTGAAAAGCACATTATATGACACATGGGTTAAACAACCAGGTGAGAGCCCCTAAAATTCAGGTATAGTCATCCCTAATTTTAGACTTATGACTATGGGGAGGACAACCAATCAAACACATTTATCTTCCATATGATTACTGTTAACTAAATAGTAGGATTAACTGTTACAGTCATAACATTCCCCACAGTGGCATATTGAAGCTCTAGTCTTGGATCTCTCTGTCTAGAATCTAAGAAGCTAACTATTAAGCTACACCCAGTCCTAGTTTCTTCTGTACATCTAGTTATTATATATAACTTTAGAATGCTTTTATTGTCACCTTCTCAAGAATGCTCAACTTTTGAAAAGCAAAATTATAAATCCTTCTATATAGCTATAAGTTCACTTACTTTATAAATGCTCAAAAAATGTGCTAATGTTAAATAATTACATGGCAAGTTATATGTTCATTGACTTTAATAATAAGTCTAACTTATGACTAGAAAAGGAAACTATAAATAAAATTATGTATTTTAAGTACTTTATATAAGTCTTATCTACTCAATATTAAAATACTGCGAAGCACTAATTCTCCAATATTTAAGGCACAAATGAAAATACGCCACTCTTTCTTTTCAGACTACCTGATCAAAACAGAACAAGTAAATGTTTTTAATACATAACTCCTAACATTTTTATTTTATTTATGAACAACATACCTCCAGCTCTTGTATAATGGATGGCATTAATAAACTCTAATATATATTGCACACTACTTTTTAGAGAAAAATAGTTGTTGACGGTGTATCACCCACCATATTTGAAGTGCCAATAAGTCACTACCTGTATAAATAATAATAAAATATATATATATATATATATATTGTAATATTGTGTATACCTTGTATTCTTTTGTTCAATGTATTTTAAACTTGTTTTTATTTTCTTCCAACTGCAATGCAAGAATGGTATTTTAATAACTGCTAAGCTTCAACTGTCATCTTCCTTAAATATTACAAATATTACTCAGTTTATGTAAAACATTAAGGTACAATAAGAGAGCTTACACATACATACACCAATTAAACCTACCAAAAAAAGGACTTTCAATCACTGTTTGTAAAATATAGAAAAATATTGTGATAAAATGATTTAAAATACACTTAAGAACCAATTCATTTTGACCTTCTAGTTTCATATAAGTAAAAAAGAAAGTCTTACACAAAAAATGATATCTTTTTTCAGATTGATCACACACTTGGATGAAGCTTTTCTTTCATTCATAACTGTTTATATTATTTGTTTCCACATCATACATATAAGATATCACTATTTCAATTACAAGTATTTTGTGGAATTTTACTAATGGGCACAATGATTTTTTTTTATATATATTTTTTTGTGGTTTAGCTTCTAAGTTGTAACAATACATCAAGTTTTATTTTCATGTTCTGAGTTATAAAGCTTTTTACAATAATCTGTAACTATGTAATTTGGATAAAATAATAAGTTCCATTCATTAAATCAGCATTATTAATAATAAACCCAAAGAATGATCACTGTTGGTCCACTCTAAGTGAAAAACTAATCATTTTCCCCTAACATAAAAGAAACTTAAGTCTCTTACGTGGCTTTAAGAATCTTTTCATTAATTAAGATGAGAAACTTTTAAACCAATACATTATTCCAGGAGATCAAACCACTCGTTAAAATTTTGGGAAACATTTTCTTTGATTCAAACAAAGTTAAACTTTTGCTAATTAACTATATTATGCACAAATTTCTACTGCAAATCTTTACTCAAACTAGTTTTAAACTGTATAACAAATGATTTAAAACAATACATAGAATACCTTTGTGATGCAAGTTATAATCTTATCAAAACGTATGTTTACTCTAGAAATAAAAATACTCTACAACTATATGGGAAGGCTGTCGACAGCTTTTTTAGCTGCATCATCAAGATCACTGGCTGTCGTAATTCTGAGTCCACTATCAGAGAGGATTTTTTTAGCTTCATTTACATTGGTACCTGGGAAAATAAAACAGATTTATTTCAATCTGGAATCTGATACAAAGTCTTTTACAATATCTGAGAAAATGTTATGGACTTTATCTCATCTCATGAATTACAACAATGAAATTTATAAGCATTAAAAATAATTTCTCATTATTTTTAAAGCAATAACTTTTGAATATATCATTACTATGCAACACGGTCACATCAGCTGTTAGTATTTACTTCTCTTCCAAAGTTTCTGTCAAAAAAAAAACGAAGAAAACACATAATTTGTTAAGAAGAAGCTACAAAAGCTTAATGTAAATTAATAAAAACGGGCTACGTAATTTCACTAAAATGATCTACTGCAGTGATTCTCAACTGGTGTACCACAAGACATGAAGTTATGGGCCTCCACGGACCAGGACAAATGTGGCTGTCCTAAACTAGCCAGTCATTAAATGCATATGTGGGCATTTACTATTATACCAAATAACTAAAGTGCAAAAGGCTGAGAAACCCTAATACAGAAAACTGATCAACACAGCTAATTTGTTTACATAATATATATACAATGTTTATATCCTACCAACAATAAGTTAAGAGCTTATTTCATTCATCATGTTGGATGTTGGCTAGTCTCCAACATGAAGATTGTTGAACTCAAGTTACAGGAAAAGAACTTGTTTGATGTGAGAAATAAATAACATAATTTACATTAAAAATCTTTATTCACATGTTAATCATTTCTACATTGTTTTACAACAATTACTAGAAAATAATTCATTCAAAAATGTCTGTTCAATATGTCAAAGATGGTTTGGGTAGTCATCTGTAGCTACTTCATTTGTCTATCTGCTTCTGGTCAGTCAGTGAAATATATATTGAATACTTTCATAAAGATAAATAAAATATATTTTAAAACTACATACTTGTACAAAACAATAACACAATCTATTCTTTAAACAATTTCTCATCATTGTAATTAAAATAATGAAAAACAGACTTCAAATGATAGTTTTAAATGAATAAACTATTTTTTTCACCTTCTAATCTCACCACTAGAGGGACTTGTACATCAATGCTTTTACAGGCATTAGTAATACCATTGGCAATAGTAGCACAGTTCACTATCCCACCAAAAATGTTTACTAATATGGATTTTACCTGTGAAGATAAGATTTTTTATTAATAATATAAATTATAAGTATCATAACAAATTATTTGGGAAATGTTGGACTAACTTTTCAGTTAAAGAAATATAAAAGTCGTAATATACACACACACACACATTCCAAATATTTAACAAAATATTCTATGTTTTTAAATTTTTTATATAAAGATCAAGTCTTATCTTTTATCTTTCCATAGAATATGTTCACTCCACTTAAATGGAGCGAAGATAGTTTTATTACTCGCTTATAAAGAAGGTTGAGTACATTATATTAAAAATGATTTTGGAGCTTTACCACACTTTTCAGTCTATGATGCCACCTCTAATCATGCTCTGTCTGACAATTGTGCATCTTGGCAATAGACCTGCAGCATAGTTTCCATTTCAAAAGACTAAGGTTGTCATGTCCAAAACAAACCACTCCTCTCTACTGCTTTCCAAAATAATTTAGTGCATGAGGACAACAGTACCTAGCATTTTTTTCACTCCTGTCAGAAGAATTCATTTTTGCTTCATCTGGTCACTTGACCAGTATGTTTTCATATGGAATAGCATAAATATACATTTCATTCTCCAGCTGTTCAAGGTGTGAAATGGTTGAATGGAGTTATGACTGGAAATCTACCTTTGTGATAGCATACCCTGTTGCCCTTATTTATATATATGGACCTTTTTGGCTGTATGTGTACTGATGTCTAGGCCATGTGGAGAGCTTTTGTTATTGACCTTTGTTTATCTGGATTCTCATTTGTTACAAGACATTGCACTTTGCTTACTATGGCTGTGGTACAACTTATTGCAGGTCTTTTTCTGGATGGTCCTGGTACCTCATGTTAATCCATATTCTTTGTTTTCCAATGCCATTAAATATAAGAGATATTCCCATCTTGTAAATTTTAAATCCCTGATATGAACATGACTTTATGATTTGAGAGTATGAATATTTGCAATAGAAAGGAATTTTACATGCCCTTCCCAAAAATAATAATTTTTTTTGGTTGCATCAAATTACTCATAAAACACCAAGGAATATCAATCTGTGGCTCCGATTAATGCCTTCCCTACCACTATTTTATATTGGCAGTGGATGTCACAATTTGATGATTTGTGTAATTGAAATGGTTTTAATATAACATACTTATTCGTGTAAAATATAATATTCAATAACTATAACAACTAAGGAGAAAAAGTTAAATACAGAAAATGCTTTCTTTAGTTATCTTTGTTTCCAGTAATGCGTTGATTTGCGCTTTACTGAGAAAGAAGTAGGTAATCCAATAATTTAATATAAAAGGAATTTGATTAATTTAAAGGCTAGGATATATTAGTCGAAACTTCTCACCTATCTAATATTAATTAAATGTTATCCTTTATTAAAAAAAGCTTCCAAAAATCCTTTCTTTCAACTAAAAACGTTTACATAATTATAATGAAATATAATAAGTCATAAAATTAACCTACTGTTGCTGCTTTAAACAGCATATAGTTAAACATATCAAATATACGAGTTATGTGCAGTTTCCAATTGTCTAATATCCTGGACATGCCTAGAAGGTGTTATGATTATTGAAGATTTTCTACCATGAGTTAATTCACAAAAGAGGACTAACTTGCAGGCAAATTGACAAAAAACATTTCCCTTCACATTTGACTACTCAACAGCACCCATTATCAACTCCTAGGTTATTTAATATAATAGTCCAAATTAACTGTCATTCTTATAACATACTCACAGCCCCAAAGTGTGGAGAACAAATTTGCAATAAGATAATGCAAACCATGGAAACTTCACATTCACGATATGAGCACTTGCCCCATTCAAAAGAAATTAAACCAACCACAAAAATTATTCTAATGTAAGTAGTCATCCTGGTAATGGATTTTTTTTTTTAAACCATTACATCACACACACACACTATAAATATTATTTATTTTGAATTAGTGAAGTTTTTAAAATGTCAAGTTTTCTTTGATCATTGTGCCCACAGCAACTGTAATATTAACATAAAACAAAACATCACACTGGGTTTATGAGAAATATCACACTGGATCATATATCAGCAGTGATTCATGCTTTCTACTGAAAAGTTGAACTTTGATAAAAGATTGATGTTGTATGAAAGACAGAAGTTAAAGCGAGTTTCATGAATTTTTTAACTCACAATTTTATAATTTAAAAACAAATAATTGGAACACAAAATTACTTGAATGAAACACCGATTCGTTTTTATTGGAATTAATCTAGCAACCAAACACACCAAAACAAAATTTATAATTTCAGTTGCATAAATAACTCCCCCAAAATTCAAACTTTTACCAACCATTTGCGAGTAATAAATTTATACCTGAGAAAGTTAGAAAATAATGAGATTATACAACCAGTTTTATGTAGTTAAAAGCTGTAATTTTTTTTAGTAAAATTAAATAAATCAAAGCTGAATTGTACAGCATTAACATATCTATATAGTCACCTTAAAAAACAACAACAAAGTAAGATGTATTAGAAAGGAAAATCACATTCCCTGCTTTTAATTTATAGCTTTGTAACAGATTTGTCGTGCCCCACAAACAATTATTATATATGAATGAAAGAGAATACAGCTACTGTTTAGTGAGACAAGCAGTGATACATAGAATGTTTATAACATTTTGAATAAATCTGAGAATTTCATGGGAAAGATTCAACTGAGCAATAAATAATTTTAATTTCTAGGGTAAGAGGTGTTAAGAAGTTTCTTTATAAATGATACATTAATGATTATGTGGTAGTGGATTTATTCATTATGTACATTATTAATTATATATTTCACATACTTTATTCTGATACACTAAAACTTCCAAGTCAGGTTATTAAAGTGTTTCTAATTACTTATAATTTCAATTTTGTTACCCTGGTATCTTGTGTGAGGATTCTAAATGCATGGTATACTTGATCTTCTTGGACTCCTCCACCCACATCTAGAAAATTGGCTGGAGATCCTCCATATAACTTAATGATATCCATAGTAGCCATGGCAAGCCCAGCACCATTAACTATGTAAATAAACACACAGATTTCTCCAACTTTTTCATCAAGAGGTGAAAAACAACTTTCTGAGAACCAATGTTTTAATTCACAAAACATCACTGTTAATTAATATTTGATATAGCTCTCTACTATAAGACTTGTGCTGTGGTGTAGGTACTATTTTCAGTACTTAAAATCCAACTTGCTTTTCAGTAATATTCGTTACTCCACCAACTGCCAGCAAACTTCAAATTTGTATCACTAATTTTTGCTTGATTTCTTTCTATGTTACAAATTTGGGAAATTGTTTCTATTTTCTTTCATAGAAAAGGATAAATATTACCAAATATATATTCTTTGATAAATGTTTTCTGAGCTACAATAGTGTTAAAATTCACAAGAACACCCCACAGCTCTTCAGATAATGGAATGGTCTCCACTCCACAAAGGACTCATAGACCAAATCTGGAATTTGCTGGAATTTATGCTTGACAAAACTGCCAATAAAACTAAAAAAATCCGCTGGACACAACTTAAAAAAAAAGAATTAAATTACACCAAAGACTGAAAAAAATACATATAAATATGCCATAAAGATGCAAACCTGTTATTGATGCCAAAAGTGGCCACACTAAATGTTAATATTAAAGAAACTTAAAGACATTATTTTTGTACTATTTGTGTAATAGTTCCCTTCACGATTAACTTAGAAATAAATATAATTTAATTTCTATAGTAAATCAACAACTATTTTGTGTGTACAGTTCATAAAATAAAAATTGTTGAATTGTTCTAATAAAGTCGCACACTACCGAATATTACTTAAAATTCACTTTAGAATAAAACGTAACCCTACAATTCAATCCGCATTTTACGATCTGGATAAACATATAAAGCCACAATGATTTTCATTTGTGAAAGAGAAACGACATTTATTTTAAATATTTACCAAATTTATCATTAACAGCTAGGGTATCCAACTGATAAACCAGTGCACTGTAATCATTGGAAGTTTTTATGACTTTGCATACACTTAGTTACAATGGAATATTAAGTTAGGTGTGTTAATTACTTGTTTAATTTTTAGTTCTGATCTAAATAAATAGCTTGTTTTAATCACAATATTTTACAAAAAAAAAATAGAAAGCAATTCAACGTACACAGAAACTGGCATTCACTCAAATTCCTAATTTTAGATTAAATAAAATTAATATAGTACAATAAACAAGAAACATGTATCATATATGTATGCACATGCTTATAAAGATATTGTATACACAGAGCGAGAGTATTATGAACTAATATCTTAGGAATACTTTCTAAAATTTTCAAATTTGGTGATAAAGTGATAAATACTGTGATTTTAAAAATTGCCATTTTTTGCCAAGGTGCAATGAAAAATTCAAAACGATGATGATGATGCTTATATCTCAGTGAAGGTTGTTACTATGGTAAAAAAAATATTCATTTAAAAATAAGTTTTCCAGTTCAAACTACTATTAAAGTGTATGTAGAGATATTTTGGCCTTCAAGGTATCTATCAAATGGAAAGCCCTTCTTTACAGACAAGTAATACCTAAGGTGCATATCACAAGTGACTGTTTACAATTCATTTTTTACATTTTATCATCACCTCAATAATGAATAGATACTGTATGTGAATAACAGTAAAAAGTTATAAAACATCTTGCCTAAGCAGGCTATATTCCCATCCATTCCTATATAGTTGAGGTGATATTTAGTGGCTTCAACTTCCCTTGGATCAATCTCTGACGAATCTTCCTGTTCAAAGATTTCTTTCTGGCGAAACATTGCATTGTCATCAAAATTCATTTTGGCATCGAAACAAACCACTAAAAACAAAAGAGAAATGAATCAAGATTTTCATTGTGCTTCCCAATTTGTACAAAAGTTTTGAAAAGTATGCATGTTTTGTTGGGCATGAGTAATTTCATCACATTTTATTAGTTCTTGATTTAGTAACATTTGACAATGGGATGTTTGAGGGATAAATCTCTCTGGCAAGGAACAGTCTATGAAAAAAATAAACCATAAATATCAACTATTTTAATGTTACCAGCAGTTTATTCACACACTGTTCATTAAAAATTTAACTTCTAATTCAGTGCACAGTTTAGTCCAACATGGATCAACACAGAAATTTAAGCATCTAAATATCTACAACTAATGGTTGCAACTTACTATAGCACAATTACAATTACCATTAGAAATTAACAATACTGGGGCATTACATGAAAACTCTGAATAACATATATTAAAATTCAAACATATTGTTGGTATGAATGTGCTCTGTAGTCACTATGAGAAAAACCTATACATTGGATAGGTGAAGAGAAGAAAAAGTGTCATTGGCCACCATTCAGTTCTTCACATTATATAGCCACACAATAGCAGATATAATAAACTTAGTGTTCCAAAAATTGTTTAATCTCGAAGTCTAAGTTTAAGGGAGGTCCAGTTCAATTTACACTTTGATCAATGTGTGTTATTGGGTTACATAATGGCCATATATTGTGAAGAACTGAATAGTGCCCATTGACACTTTTTCTTCACTTCATCTATCCAGTGTATAGGTTCTTCTCATAGTGACTATAAAGTGCATTCACATGTTTGATACTTTTCACGATATATGTCTAGCTTATCTCTCTTAGGTTACCTTGTATTCAAGGTTACTGATGAGAGGTGGAATTCTCCAAAACTAATATAACCAATAACACACATTGATCAAAGTGTTCATTGAACTGGACCTCCCTTGAACTTAGATTTCAAGATTAAACAATTTTTGGAATACTAAGTTTATTTATTATATATTAAAATTAAGCTCTTTTCCCATTAAGAATTGTAATAAATATAAAATATAGAGAAAAAAAGATTCTAGATAATGAACAAGTTCTTCTACATACACCTGATAAACCAGGAACATTCACGTTAAGAATTAATATTCAAAAACACTACCTCGGCCATCTGGTGTCTCCCCAAAGGGATTAATCTCTACTTGTGTAGCATCAACTTTGAGAAACAGCTCATAAATTTTCTTTATTTGATTTGCAGCCTAATGGAAGAAAAATGAACACAGATTTTTACACCTGTACTTTTCTGAATCAGAATCAAATATAATTAACTTCTAACAATTTATCTTACTGAGGTTGCCGAGTTGATCATATTTTTTTGAAGAAAATATTTTTCTGATAGTTATGTACCTTCTCTCACACAAAAAGTTATTCTCATTCAGTGCTGCCCTCTATATTAAAAAAGTTTTTACACATGCCACAAGCCATTTATCTCCTCTTATTTGGAATTGACTGATTCCAATGTGTGTCTCATGCAAATCATTATGCGACAACCTCCACCAATAAGAGTGCAACATACTCTCAAGACACATGTGACTCACTTTATTCAATTCAAGTTTTGACAGAAGATGGAAGCACCAGTTTTCATTTCGGAGGAAGGGTGGAAAGTGTGAGAGGAGGGAAGTACCTATCAGAAATACATTTTCAGTATAGGAATATTATAACTTCCAATACAGTACCTTACCTCTTCTCACATAAATAGTTAGAATCCCACATTGAATAGGTAGAGGGACTGGTATGAGAGAAAGAAAGAAGCATACAAAGGACACACCTAAAGATGAGACAGTCAGAATCTAAGATCTGATATGGGGAACCGCACCAACTCTGAACCAGGTATACTCTTTGCCATCATAGAAAGATGTCGCACATATGGTTGGAAAAACAGAGGAGCACCACAAAGTGGGAGAGCACTACGGTCGGATGGTGATCCGAACAATACAATATTTATAAAATTCTATCCTATAAAATATAAAAGTGGGTAAAAGTAAAAGGATGTGTCCTAGGTGTAGAGTGGCTAGGGTGCGACGGACTATACACAGCAAGTCACCTACATCCAAAAACCTGTGCTGCTGGGAACTGACATCCACACAGGTGTAGAATGAGGATCACACCATTGGTAAGTCAACTACAACCCAAAAACCAGCCATCTGGTGGGGGTAGGAAAGAGAATAATACCATTTTCACCTCAAGTTTATGAAACCAGAGGGAATCAAGAATGGGGCACATGTTAATGTAAGAAATTGACAGATCAATCTGGGAACACGACATCTGGTATCGAAAAGATGTCTGCGTAATGTAAACCAGCTCGCTCAAAATTGAAATTGACCGGAACCGCCCCAAGCACAGTAACATCCTCGGAATAATAATCATCAAGGGATAGTAGAAGGGGAAGAACTGTAATAAGTACCTCCACTGTGATGCACAACACAGATGGAGTAACAAGAGTATAATTGAGTGAGGAATATAGACATTTGTAATACATGTGTGAGGAGTTATGTTGATTGGTTCAACTCTAAATCCAAATCCTGGAAACTGACATTCACATGGGGGTAGGATGAAGAATCCCAATCATAAGGGTGAACTGCAATTTTAATGGCTCACTCACATTTATATTTATTCCATATTGGAGGATATTATGTCATCTACACCAGCAGAACACCACCACCCTACTCTCAACTGAATGGTTTTATAATCATTTCTATATTTTATTTGTATTTCATTTCAGGAGGATGCTTCCACAATCCACCACCCCAGCGGCTTGGAACTGGAAAGTGGTAAGGACTCTCAAACTCCACTAAAAGAAAAGGGGGGGGGGGAACACGGTGGAGAGTCTGAAAGAATGACAACACCTGAGACAGTACAATTGGTGATGACAAAACCATATTTTCAAAATTAGACCATACCGATTTATTCAGTACAAGACATGGCAGGGATGGGCAGCTATCCCCTTCTTCCTTACCCATTCCATCAGGAGGATAAACCTACAAGCGATCTTGTGGAACAGCCCATGTCCGCAGTGTGAGTTGTGTGGCCATAGAGATATAATATGCAAGTCGACATGGTCTTACAGTGCGGATTTGATCGGTTAAAGAATACCTGATCCAGGACCCAAACAATGAGAAATAATAAAAAGAAAAAAAAGGCACCTGAAAAAAAAATACTCGGTAAAAGTCTCACTGAAGTTTTAAGAATGGCTAAAGGTGGAAGACGATAGCCCGTAGAGGAAGAAACAGTAATCCTATGCAAATAGTGAAGAGACAAACATATTAGGGATAGTCTACCTGCCTAATTGAAGAATTCCCTCCAAAGGACGACAAAGATGAGACACCAATAAAAAGGTAAGGTGTTGAATTTGACAAAAAGACACCCAGAACAAAGAATGGGAGGAAGATGATAAAAAAGAATAAGCTACTTGAAATAAAAGCCAAACCCAATTGGTGAGGGTGGAAAGAGAAAGATCATGAATAGAGGACGGCTTCCCAGGAATAAATAGGTGGGAATGTGCACCATGGAAGGAAGCCAATGCAAATCATCGACAAGAGTAGGATGAAGAGTAGTAAGAGAGGTCAAATGATCCCACTGGTCATGAAAAACACGCGTACGAGCCTGACTTAAGGGGACAAGGGCTGCTATGGAAGACCACATCCCCAAAAGTAACAGAACCTCACGAGCTGTAATAGCATAGAGAACTGAAAGCTCCATCGAATGAAGTCGAAGAGGAGAAGGTTGGGCCTGACTGAGATGGGTGATGAAAAAATAAAACACCCTAATGGACAAGATATTGGGTATGTCGCAGGAATGACTATTCCAACTTGAGCTGCCTCCAGAAGCAGCTATTGAGTGTGAAGGGCGGACTCCTGTTCAGAATGAGCTAACAGTAGCTAGTTGTCCATATAATGAGGAAAAATGAGGAAAGTGCAACCCGAGAGCATGTAAGTGACAAGCAAATGCTCTCACCACCTGACAAAAATCTTATGGGGCTGAAGTCAGCTCAAAGGGCAATGTACAAAACTGATAAACCACCCCATGGTGAATAAACCAAAGATAGGATTGCGACTGATGAGATATTGGGATATGCAAATAAGCATTTATGACGTTGATCTTAGTGATCCATAAGCCGGGATAAAAAGCCCACCTGAGGGTTCGAAATGACTCTATGGTGAAACGGGGCAGATGGAGAAATTGATTGAGGTGGGACAAATCTATTACAGTCTGCCAGTCTCCAGTTTTCTAGGGGACAACAAACAGGTTCGATGGCATGTTGAGACAGAAGGTCTTGTACCACATCTGACAGACACTGGCTGGTGGTAGGATCCCGAGGCATGGGGGAAGAAAATGGGCACCTGAGACAAAGGAGGGGGAATTGTAGGACAAGTCCCTCCGATAAAACCTGAAGAATCCATGGATCTGTGGTGAAAGATTGCTGAAGGGGAACAAATTCATACAATCGAGCTCCCACAGGACCAAAACCCACTGGGTAGTCACTAGTACTGTTGGTGACGTGCCCATCTACCTTGAATAATACAACAAGATGAGAAACACCTGGAAGGAGGAACAGGTAAAGACTGAGAAGAACTAGGGCAGGAAGCAGAAATAGGGGCTTGTCTTGGCTCTGACTGTGGCAAATGTGCTACCAAAGAGGAAGAGGTAGAATGTTGACACACAGACTCCACATGTGATTCCACAGTCTCAGGTACTTGATCAAAAACATACCACCAAAGAAAAGGGGCCATATGTAAATCCCCAAGATAAAGGGGTGGCAAACAAATCTGGGACAAAGCCTCATCTTGACCCAGAAGAACCCCACAACAAAGAAACCACAGGTGTAAAGCGAGAGCCAACACGGAGATAATAAGGGAGAGGCTTTCCCTCGAAAAACCCTCAGGGCAGTAAGGGAAAGACAAAGGCATGAAACTGGGAATGGGTGAAACATACAGGAAAATCAGGGACAGCCCCCACACCAGTAAAATCGACCTCAACTGCTGAAAGTCAAGAAATGGACAGTCAGGTTGATGGTAAGCTAATGCAAACTGATCCGTAGCCCCAGTTGTGTAGCAAATTGCTTAGCATTAACCCTAATATCCAGGGAGGATAGGAAAAATAAATACAGATAGGAATTACTATCATCCAACAATGAAGTATGGGGATCATAGGTAATTGGGGAAATGGACAAAACATCATATACCTGAAAAATCATGTCTAGAAATGCGGTATTAGGCCTAGCACATTCTGCAGGTGGGGCCTAGAAAGACACGGCAAGATCTGATAGTGGAAAGAGGCTATCAAAATCTTCAATGGCCGGAACAGGTTCTGCTTGCTCAGGAGGAAGTGGGGCAAGGTCAGGAGAAGGAGGATGACCCATATAATGATCAATCTTATGGCAGTTAATCACAGATAAATCTAATGATGGGTCTTCCCCACCTGCAGCCTGTGAAATAGTGCTAGTAAGAAGTATGAAACTCGAAGTGGTAACATGAACCTCAGAATTAATTGTAGAAATATATATCAAACAAAAGTGTTTGATGTAAAAAATAAAGACTGGAAAATGAAGTTAAAGTAAAATACATATTCAATGACGATTTGCTTGAGAGATGCATTGGAATCAGTCAATTTCATTGAGGGGAGATAAAAGGCTTGTGGCATGCATAAAATTTTTTTTGCATATAAAGGGCAGCAATGAATGAGAATAGCTATTTATGTGAGCGGAGGCAATGTACTGTATCAGAATTAGAATTTACCTCAAGGTATTGTCCTAATAAAGCTGGAATAAATAAATTTGGAGCTAGGATCTTCCAATATTTTATCCACCAATTTAACCTTCTTTTAAATGGTAATAACCAGATTTTATTAAGCCTTATAACTGGATAGTTTTCTTCTTATGGAAAACTTTTCTGTTTTTGCTCCTTTCATCACATGGTTCAATGCAAATTAATTTAATTTCCTTAACTAGCTTCTATATATGTTTAATTGTCACAAAGACAAACATTTTATTTATATTTATCTAATTGCTCATTTTCTTATTAATTTAAAATACAGTAATTTTCCACTATTTTTTGTTCTTAAATATATTTTATGAGGTTTAAACATTTCTTTTAGAATTACCATCTTTCAGTATTATATTTGTTTGTGTAAATAATTTACTGACAATACACAATCATTATAGTGCTTTGTGATGTAACATTACATTTTTTTTTTTGCACAAAGAGAAACAACTAGCTAGGAACAAACAGACAAAAATTATTCTGAATGTAGTTTAGTAGTTTTACACACCTGGTCTCTTAGTTCTTCTTTAAACTCTAAATTTTCAGCAAGTCTCTTTGCTTGTTCTTCAGACAGACCATTTATGATATCAACTGGTTCCTAAAGATGGAATAAAAATTCTAAAAACTGAAAATACATTTTCTAAACATGCAAAATAGAGTGGAATTCAAATCAAAGTAACTACTGCAAATAAATAATTCATGAATAAAAACACACATTTATATATATATATATATATATATATTATAC